TATTTAATTTCAATAATTATTCATTAAATTATAGATAAAAAATCTTGTCCAATTATTTTTGACCCACACTGTATATAATCTTTTCAAATTATTGTTTTATTTAACTAATAATTGATTGTGAATGGGATGCTAGCTTAGTAGGCTTGTATGTATAATGATTCCAATATCCCATTACTCTTTGATTTTTTCAATATTTGACAAAGTATGTGACACCATCATAGTTGAAATAATAAAAAATAATAATAAAAATAAACTTTTCAATTTATATTGATTTCGCAAGGAAATTCGATCAGTCACATGAAATTGCATCAACTTAATAATTCGGGAAATTTTACACCTGCACAAGTGGCGCACGAGGAACACATTCGTATTTAAACAATTTTATCCCATTATGTAGAATTAGATCACCAATGGTAAGTTTTTCCAAATTTCCATGATTATATTCACATTCTTTTTCTCGGTTCAAACCTGACAAAAAACAATCTCACTTTTGTCTCAGTTCATTGGCAAAACAAAAGCCACGTTGTTTTCAATTCCATTTAATATCACGAGACGCTCATTTAATTCTCGTTTCCATTTGATATCCAATTTTCTTCAGACTGATATTTCCGAGTTTCATACAGTACCAAGCGAGGCTCTCGATTTTATCGAATTCGTTAATAGTGCACCCTCTCCATTCCATGCGGTCGAAGAATCTCGTTTACGTTTAATTGATGCGGGTTTTGAAGAGATTAGGGAACGCGATAGTTGGATTGGAAAATTGAAACAAAATGGCAAATATTTTTTTACCAGAAATAGAAGTACCATTTTAGCTTTTTCCGTTGGTGGTAAATATATTCCTGGGAATGGATTTTCAATGATTGGAGCACACACAGATTCTCCTTGCTTGAAGGTAATAATATGTTTTTCCTTTTATTATAACATTAACATAATATAATGTAAAGGACTTTTTTTAGGTTAAACCTGTATCCAAGAAATCATCCGCGGGATATTTACAAGTTGGAGTGGAAACTTACGGAGGAGGGCTTTGGTGAGTTCTTTTAGCTTTCAATTATATTGTAACGTAATGTGCAATTAGAATTTAACTTTTGTTATGTGCTATAGGCACACTTGGTTCGATCGTGATCTAGGTATCGCTGGGCGCGTAATGGTTGAAACCGAAGGAAATAAGATTGAACATAAATTAGTTCGAGTTAGAAGGTAATATCAATAAAAAGAATTATTTGTCTATGAATTTATTTATTTCAAATAAAGGCCGGCATTTTAATGTCATTTCAAATCTGATTTAAAGGCCTATCCTTCGAGTTCCTACTTTGGCAATTCACCTTGATCGTAATGTTAATGAAGGATTTAAGTTTAATAAAGAAACACATTTGACACCTTTAATTGCAACCGCTACAAAAGAGTGAGTCATATTTTTTATATAAATTCTGATTAATAACTGGGTACTAATTAACTTTACATACAAAGGTTGGAAGGGACAAATGATGATAAAACATTAAAACATCATCCTACGTTATTGAATGTTCTTGTCAATGAGCTTGGAGTCAAGAGTACATAATAACACACCAGTCATTATTATATTATTATCTTACTATTTTCTAACAATTTCCATCTATAGCCGTTGAGCAGATTCGTGACTTTGAATTATGTCTTTATGATACACATCCATCAACTGTTGGAGGGGCATACAACGAGTTTATCTACTCTGCTCGCCTTGATAATTTGATGATGTCATATACTGCATTGATCGTAGGTGTTTTATACGAAATTTTATTGATAGATATTTTAAGATCACTTATAAGCATTTATAATGC